TTATAAAGTATTCTAATCCCGCCTTGTCTGGACTGCGGTTTCGATCTCGCCTGAACTGGTCTCATCAACACTCCCAAAGGAACTCGAACTCGGGACTTGAGCCATTGCGTGCACAAGTGCACCACAGTACAGATGTAAAAGTTCGGGGCTATCCCGACCTCTCCTATGGGACATCTTGATTTATAGTGAGATTTTCGATGAGGCAAACTTTTAGTTTTAATTGCCGCCGGCATAGCTTTATTTACGTTTAAAAATGCGAGTGAAAGGGATTCATTAATTGGCAGCAGAGGATACCGAAGATTACAAACTGAGGCATAATAAGTAAGTATAATTTAGACCAGCCATTATTCTTGATCTAATGTTTTCTCCGTGAATGTTCGTAAAAAATGGTTTATGGTCATGACGGAGGAAAGCCGAACTCGAATGGGTATTCTTCGCACAATTCAACAACCACAGCTCAAAGGCAGCACTTGTTCGGTATCCGAAGAGACCAATTTACGAATCCCTTCAACCCATCTTTTCAAACGAAATGAAAGCCTTGCCGACATCAATCCAATAAGGGATTCTTCGAAACCCTACTTCTCTTCATAATGTAGTTTGTATATTCGTTTAGAAGAGATTTCGGAAGAAATATTAACTCTTTAATAAGACTTCCATTTATCACAGGCCACATTAGGCGATAATGGACTAATAAATGAATATTCTAGCACAATAGAAACGTGATGCTGAGTCATATCATTGTGGGCAAAACTAAAATATCACTCCCACCTCTTTTAGTATTTGATACTACTCTCGACGATATTACTTAGAATTCACCGTTAACTTTGGGGAAATACCTCTTTGGTGGGCAAGTGAAGGTAAAATTTAGTGGTATCCTAAGGTGTAATCATCCGATTGTAGAAAAGACAATCTACCAAACAGTCCTTTATCCCCTCCACAGTCTAGACTGAATATGAAGTCTACGGGAAATGTTAAATCCCACTCATTCTGAATGTAGGCGGGAAGCTTAACTGGCCGTCAAATATGCAAAGTGGCAAAGTCTTTGGGGGCGAAAAAGACGGATCATGCGCTTCTCTTCTTGCCTGATGCGTCAGAGAGAGCCTGTTAGAGCCCGAGTGCCCTCGAGGCGGCAGAACGGGAGAAGAATGTAACCCCAGACTCATCGCCTCCATCGGATTGGCCGTTGTCGCCAGGTCGACGATGCTTTTGTTGTCGGCGCCCTCGGTCGTCGTCAGCCTCGACGCCCCACGATGCGGTGCCACAAGGTTGACTACAGAATGGGCGGGACTCTGTCGCAGAGTGTTTGGGAGAAAACGAAATAAGCAGAGTTAGCCAGACTCTTGGTTGGCTGATCTGGACCGGCATGCGGTCAGCATCAATGTAGAAATGGTATACTTGCACTTGGAAAATAAACTTACAAGATAATTTTGTCATAGATGAATTTGCAACTTTAGAATATCAAGCCATGCAACGACGTCTTGTGTCGTCAAATAGTAACTTTTCATGATGCTTCTGTGAATGTAGCCAGTCAACAGTCGGAAGAAGAAGTCATGACAACAATGGCAGAGGACAAATTGTTGAGTATATTCTTCCAAGTAGCGCTTTAATCACGACACATTTTAGAGGATAGATCCGAACCCAGTTACACGTTTGAAATGGCCTACTATAAATTATATAAACGTGTTTCTTAAATAAAACACGAAGATATTATTGAGTTTACTTTCATTACAAGTGAAAGAATCTGATGAAAAGATTCTATGATATATCCTACCAGAAGACGACGGCAGATTCCGATTGGCCTTACTGGAACACTTTTGTTGACGCCGCTTCCGAGGCAATCTCCTCCAATTCCACTGAGCACGTG